GGGGCCTCAATGTTGCTATACCTTCTCGAGGATTCCGTGGTCTGAGCTGGGCCACAGAGTTGCACCTCCGGGAATTCCTTTCGGGTTAACTTGGACATCGGCGTTGCTGTTACCGCGGTACGAGGGGGCGGGGGGTGTGCTTGTTCGTTTTTTACGAAAATTTGTTCTTTTTCGAACCGGGCTCAGTGCCTTTGCTGTGCTTTGCTTTCCCCTTCTGTACGTTCCGGTACCTCTCCGCCCTCTTAACTCGGTCTCGTTTCCTGCTTCCGCGAGAGGGAAGGCTCTCTTGGTTGAGGAGGAGGCGAATGAGGGAGATGGCTGGGCGGAGGAGGGAGACGAGCCGATGGAGGGAGGCGTAGCGGCGGAGGGAGCGAAAATTTGGGCGCGCAGCAGCTCTTTGTGCAGCACTGGCAGGAGCGCATTCGTTGCTTTTTGCAGTTGCTTCCTTCGACGAGCAGCACAGCACACCCACTAACTGCTGTGTGTTAGAGGAAATGCCAACCGAAGAAGCTGTTGCTCCGAGTGATGCGGCCGGCGATAACGCGCCCGAGGTGACGGCCTCGGCCACCACGGCCACGGCCGAGGCAGCGCCGAAGAGGAGGAAGGGCAGCGCCCGGGCCACCGCGAAGGGGGCCGCCAGCTCGAACAAGAGCGGTGCGAAGCCGCAGCACAATCATCCACCGTACGGGAGCATGATCAAGGCAGCGCTGCTGGCCAGCGAGGACAAAAAGGGCTCAAGCCGAGCCGCCATTCTCAAGTACATCATGCAGAACTACGAAGTGGGCGAAAATGCCAGCTTGGTTTGTTTGTTTCGAGTTTTCTTTTTGGCGTAACTGGAAATGAACTCCGATAAAGCTGTCTGTTGTGGGTATGTGTCTGTGTATGTGGGTATGTGTCTGTCTTTGTATATGTATGTATGTGTGTGTGTGTTTGAGTATGTTTGTGTCTGCCTTTGTGTGTGTTTTTGTATGTATGCGTTTTTGTATGTGCGCGTTTATATGTGTGTGTATGTTTCTGTGTATATGCTAGTTTCT